TACTTTTCAATGCAATAGAAATGAGCAATTTTTGTAGGCTTTCAAAAATAAATTTTACAACTTTTTAAATTCTTTTATTTTCCCTTTTTCTTTTCTTTTGTTTCAAAGCCTATTTTCAAATTCATTTTCAAAGACAATTCAAACCATTTTGAACTTTAATCAAAACAACTCAACCAAATAAATCAAATGCACCGGCATGTATTCTCCACCATGTTGCTACACCCTATGATGAGTTTTATTATAATGAAAAATATTCTTTTTCCTATATTTCATGAGCACAAAATACAAAATTAAATCAATTTATACCTTTTTCGAAAAGAGCAAATTTTAGGGTGTTACAAATCGCATCAGTAGTTCGTGATTTACCGGGGCCTCTGATTAGAAGCGGTTGGGTTCACCCTAAAATTTGCCTCTTTTGAAAATAGGTTTAAAATGATTTATTTCTGAATTTTGTGCTCATGAAATATAGAAAAATAAATTTTTTTCATTAAATTAAAATTCATCATAAGGTAGCAACATGTTTGAGCATACATGCCCTTGCATTTGATTTATTTGGTTGAGTGGGTTTGATTGAAAATTTAAAATGGTTCAAATTGCTTTTGGAAAAAAAATGAAAATAACTTTGAAGTAAAAGAAAAGAGGGAAAAAGAAAATAGGAAAATAAAAGAATTTAAAAAGGTTGTAAAATTTATTTTTGAGAACTTACCAAATTTCTCATTTTTAGTTAAGTTGAAAAGTATATTCAAAACTCTATTTGAATTTGATGTGGATCATATTTGCATTTGGATTGAAAATGGAAAATGAGAAAAAGAATTTCTTTACTGCTCTCTCCTTGTCTCTCTATTTTTAGCCCAACAGGCCATTGGCCCATCTTTTCTTTTTCTTCCCCCACGTAGGCCTGCTCCACCCGTTCGGCCTTGCTTCCCCGCTGGCAAGCCGGCCCATGTGCTCTTCCTCAGCTCTTCCCGCGCAGGCCCGCTCCCGCTCTCGGCGGCCCATCTCCTTTTCCGGTCCAGCAGCGCCGCGTCGCCTCTCCCATCCCCAATGACTCGTTCCTGAGCAGCCCAAGTCATGGCCCAGCATCGCGCTGTTCCCATCTCTCTCTCCCGATCACCGACTGGTGGGCCCTAGCTGTCAGTCGTCCCTTACCTCCAACCATGTCGGACTCTATCGACTCCATGTCCGCGCCGCTCTTGACTCCTCCCTTGCCGTGTGCGCTACGCTAGGCCGCCCCATATAAGCCGAGCCCGCACCGCGCCTCCCTCCCTCAACTAGAACGCAAGCCGCTGCTATCGAATCGTAGCCACCGCCTTTGCCCTAGAAAGATCGCGCCGCCGTCCGCCGTCGCCCAGCCAAGCCGCGCGTCGTCTCCGTGCCTCCTCTACCGTTGGGAACCCCCTAGGTGCATTTGCCATCTCCTTTTCCTTCTCCGTGTGTTCCCAGTCTGTTCTCTCGTGGCCTGTAGGTCGATTTCCGCGCTCGCCGGCGACCTCGTTGCCGTCGGCAATGGCAGCATCGCCGCGCTGGTCTTCCCCTCCGACCGGCAGCGCTCCCAAACAATTTGAATCGTCTGATTCGAAATCAAGGGCTCAGATTAGAAGATACCCCTTCGATGGCGTTTTTGCAAAAACCCCCTTACAACTATTTAGATCTCAACCCACAGTCCTTGTATATTTTCTAAAGAGCCCTCGGGTTTTTGTTTATAGAACCCGCAGTCCAATGTGCAAATTCAGATTACGTTTTCTTCTTTGGAAAGCGTAGTTTGTTCGGATTAGATTCAAAATACGTTTTCATCTATTTACAGTTTTGCCACTAATCTTGTTTTAGCCATAAAATCTTTGTTTTAACTCCGATTTGATCCGTTCAACTTGAGTTAGATTCATATTTATGTTGTCTACGTGTACATACTACTGTTAGATATGTTTTCAACTTTTAAAATTCAAGGTTAGATTTAATCTATTATTTTAATAAAGGAAATCTTGTTTATTTTATATCTTCTATGTTTTAGCTCCGTTTTGACCCATTCAAGTTGCGTTAGATTCATAGCGACAAGATATACGCATTAGTAACAGTGTTTATCATATTACTATTTCTAAAATTTCATGGTTTAAATCATATCTTGATTAATAATTATGCAACTGGATTTGATAAATAAAATATGATTTGGTTTACTTTAGTTTTATAATTTAAATCTAAAATCGACTTAATTCAATTTGTATTATTTATAAAATATCTTATATATATGAATTTATATATTTAAAATAAATAAAGCCTATAGTTTTCTTTTCCACGTATAAAGCAAATCTTTCGGTAGTTGTATCTTTTCAAACCGTAGCTCCGATTAGCGTGCCTCTTGTGACTATGTGTTCATAGCGATGCGTAGAATCGTGTTTGAAACTCTTTTACTTATTTTTCTATGATTGGTGTACTGTTCTAATTTAGATCTATTGTTTGTTTCGTGTATGATTGCATGGATGCTTGTGTGGTGCTTTATGATCATGTCCAGTCGGTGAGTTATACGTGGTGAATCAAGAAGCAGCTCTTTGCAGTTTTGGACTTGAAGAAGGATCTAAGTTTAAGGCAAGTATAGTATGGGATCTTCCTTGTTGTCCTATACACCTTAAATTATTTAATTCATACTGCATGTGTCTACCTTGATTACCACAAAGGATTTCCTAGTACTTTGTACCTTGTACGATGACACCTATGGGGTATTGCATTGGGTAATATGATGCTAGTGCTCAACTACAATCATGATCTTGTAACTTGACTAATGGAATATGCAATAAACATTAAAAGATGTTTTTTAGCAATATAGAATCAAGGGGGCTAGAGCATTGGGCTGTTTTTATAGTGCTCTAGATTCCTCTCCCTAAGGATTTATCTATAAGTGATCATCTGGGACTTACAGTACAGCTGTGAGGGCTATATGGGTCTGGCTTTAGCTCAGTATGAGGACCTTTTCTAGCTTGTTAGTGGTTACCTTTATTGGCGGTAAGAATGGCTTGCCGAATCGGGTATAGGACAACCTCTACTCTTATGTGTATAGCCATGATGGAATTATGCCATTCGACAGGGGGGTTGCTATATCTGTTTGCCGAATGAATCTAATGGCCCTAACTTGTTAGGCGAACCTTTGAAAGGCTTCATAGTGAACCCTGCCGACCTTCCTTGGTAGTGGGTCAAGAGGCTGATCACCTCGGGCGAAAGGGTAAATCACGACTTAAAGTGAAAGTGTACAACCTCTGCAGAGTGTAAAACTGGTATATCAGCCGTGCTCATGGTCACTAGCGGCCTTGGAACATTTATGGAATAGATGATGAACACTGATGATACTGATGATAAAGATGCTCACTAATGATTATTGTTTATGCTATTCATTATTCATGTTTACCTGATCATGTGTTTACATGGGCTTGTGATAAACTTGTTGCTACTCCTATGCTAAAATTGTGACAATTAAAAGCTAATCACATCCTTTTGAGCCTCATAAACCCCATGTTATATTTGTTGAGTACGACATGTACTTACGTTTGCTTTACTTTTTAAATCTTTGGAAAATCCCGGATGGGTACCAGATTGCTAGTCTGGAGGAGTTAGGCTTATGATTAACCAGTCAGTTATCCCTGTGGATTGGAGTCTTCACCCGAAGATCGGAGTTGTCTTTCCACTGTTTGCTATCTAATGTTATATTCTCTATACTAAGTACGTTATATATTGAGCATTGTTTATTGATATTACCCTTATTTGTAGCTATATGTGAGATTTGACTTCCCTTTTTCTTTTCTTTTGTTTCGAAGCCTATTTTCAAAGATAATTCAAACCATTTTGAACTTTAATCAAAACAAATCAACCAAATAAATCAAATGTACCGGCATGTATGCTCAACCATGTTGCTACACCCTATGATGAGTTTTATTATAATGAAAAATATTTTTTTCCTATATTTCATGAGAACAAAATACAAAATTAAATAAATTTATACCTTTTTCGAAAAGAGCAAATTTTAGGGTGTTACAAACCGCATCATTAGTTCATGATTTACCGGGGCCTCTGATTAGAGGCGGTTGGGTTGCCCGCCTCCATTAATCATTTTTGCCTACGTCCATTAAGTTTTCTGTAGTACTGACAGCAGGTCCCAGTCCACTAGAGCCAACAATATATATCACCAAGGTCTTAGGCCTAACTTTAAGACTTATAAACAATCACTTCCGCCATGCATTAGGCCCAACTCTTTCCATCATATACACCTTTAACCTCTAGGAAGAAGCTATCTTCTTAGGCGCAGTCCAACTCTCCCTACCACGCGCAACCCATATGATCGATCGATCCTCTCCCTTTACACACAACGCGTATGACCTTTTTGTCTGTAGGCTTCTATATCACCTCGTGACCATCATGTGACTCTGATATCATTTATAAGGTAGTGAAGTAGTCCAAGCTAGCTTGCTATACCCCTGAGTTGCTACCACACCTTGCCCAAGTCCAACATAGCCCACAAACAACCAAGGGATCGGGCCTAAATGAACCCCCAAAACTAGCCTAATATGTGAGCGATACCTCACTTTATACTTTGTGCTCCCCAACCTCAATTTTCAATGTGAGACTAAACCTAACTACTTGTATATAGAAGGATAAAGCATGTTTTCTACAAATTTCTAGTGAAACTTAGTTTCTAGGACAACCAATCAATACTAATTGAGTTGTACATAATAAACTTGACTTACATTTGTTCAACCATCAGCCCATCACTTTCAAGAAATAGATACATTTGTATGGATGCATACATGAGCAACCTTAATTATTGCCACAATTTTTTCACATACCCACACATAAACAAAAGTACATACTACATAACGTTATTATTCAAACCACAATACAAGTATATACGTATATGTGATATTCAAACTGCAATAGAGGCATACTATTGTATCCCCATATCACACTACATTCACCCAAGACAGTACATATATAGTGCATATGCCCATTCATAAATTTTATTACACTTGGGACCTTGGGAAAAGCTGAACGCGATAGTCTTGTAGGAATACAAGATCCGAAATACGAAACTTTTGACCTCCATTGATCTCCTTCCATCTACATGCCCAGAAAAGAACATGAATAAATATAATACCTCCAATTCCGACAAGACAGTTGAACAAATTGTAGGCGAAGAAAACTCTTGTCTAAGACTTCAAACAAAAATGATCACGGGTAGTAATGCACTCATAACACCCGCAATAACAAATTAATGGAAGGAATAGCTATGTTTGTATCAGTGGTTGATGTAGTCCCATGCGAGTTCCATATGACATATTGGTTGAGATAAAGGTTGCACTATGTTTTCTCAAGGTCATATATGTGTTTATAACTTTTTATGCTCTTCATCAAAACAGTAATGAAACATAAATGTATATTGTAGTCAATATATATTTGTACCTGTATTTTGTGACTAATTCATGGAGGAACATTGCCATCTGAAGCTTAGTGAGGTCAGCACCCATGCAATGCCTTGCACCATCTCCAAATGGTATGAAATTCTTCACCAAGGAGCTCCCATGGGCCTCCTATAGATTTTAGCAGCGCATTTATGCATGTTCAGAACTATTACAAAGTTAAACAACTGCGTGCCTAGTTAATTATTTCATGGTTTAACTCATATTTGTTAGTGTGTAGATACAGATAAAGTTAAATTTGCACCGTTATGATATTCAGAAGAATTTCTGGGTTTTATTTTTGGTGATGTTGTGGCATAATCACAGATAATATTCTAAATTGAACTAGACTGTCTTTGATATTTTTGGCTTATGTATAGGAGTTCAGATATGTGATAAAATAAGCTTATCAACTCCTCAAATACTAACTGGAATTGTTTTATATATCTTAAACATGAGGATGAAAATGACATAGGGAAGCGTCAAGGTGATCTATTTACTCCATATATTGATCAAGTTAGTAAAATATATGGATCATGCTTGACAAAAAGTGTTAGGATAAAAAACAAAATGTGCCTTGTGACTATTGACAGATACTAAAGGATACATATATGGATGAGTACCATTCCAATCATTTTGCACTTCCTGTCTAACATATATTCTTCAAAATCAACTTGATAGATCTTGTTTATTCGGTCTATACTCTTGTGATGTAAATGTGTAATTCGAATAGTGATAAAGTCTAAAGTTTTTGACCCTTTAAGTTCCTTCTCCATTCACCTTTTGTGAATTTACTTTTTGTTGATATGGTAAATTTCAGTTAGCATCCAATTTCCCATTTCAAGGTTGATGCACCCATAAAATTTACACAGTTTAATGGATGGAGTAGTTTATTTTTAAGAAACACTCACTAACCTGCCATCTCCATGGATTAAAAGTGAGTGGATCTTTGAAATTTGTAGGATTTAGATGAACTGCCATGGGGCTTATCAAGACCAACCATCCCTCTGGAATTGTGTAGCCTGAATAATGAATATGAAAATGAGTGAATATCTGATGTGGGCCCACTAGAAATACTTCATCCATAATTAAATATGGTATCTTTTGTTAATGAAGAAACTGAGTTATTGTCATGCAGGCCATATATCACAGGGAAGACAAAGATACCATTCACTTGGACATCCTTCAATGTCTTTCTAAAAATTCCAGGAGCATGGCTAGTTGCACGAACTATCTCATTGATAACCTTCAGATGGAAGAAATTATCATCTTAAGTTAAATAAAATAATGCATATGAATAGTTAAATAGTGCAGTATGAAAGATGAAAAATAATAAAACTTGAAGAAAATTACCAACAATAGCTATCTTGTGTTTAGTGTTTCGATGCATGTAAATTATATTAAAGCTCATGAGTTCCTATGAGCCACTATAATGCAGACAAAATCTTGAGGTGGATCAAAATATTATTGTTTATGTTTTCTTTTGTTCCTACATACAGATATGTGAAATAGTAGTGTGATGAGAACTTCGATAATGCTAATCAGGATGGTCAAATTCAGGTGTTACCCCACATTGAATTAATGATGGCATCTCAAGCTAATGGCACAATATTGTTATGGAGCACTATATTGAACAAGCAAAAACATGGAAATATTTTGTTATGCATTTGAGCAACTCTCATAATTTAAAATAAACTTCCACAAAAGGGAGCTATTTTGCTACGAAGAGGCAAAGAATTATATGGAACAATACTCATAGATTTTTGGCTAAGATCTTGGACAATATCCTTTTGGCTAGGCATTCCAATGAATTATAGGAAGCTAAAAAACAAGGAATGGAAAGCCATTCAAAAACATTTCAAAAAGAAACGTAAGCCACTAAAAACAGAAAAATGTCTTATGGCTGCTGACTACTATTGGTAAACTCTGCATTGAGCAATTTGGCTAATATGATGTCTTTCATTGAAGTACAAAGGTATATTCTTATTAAGAAGCTAGATTTCTATAGATCTAGTTTCTTTAGGCAAGGGTGGGACCACAAGAAAAATACAGATTAACAAAATATGGGGTATTGTGTCTTCCAAAGGAGCAAGGCATTTTAGGAATTACAAATATTGAAATACAAAATGACTATGTCCTTAACAAATGGTTGTACTATTGGTGAAGATGAGTTTGGAAAAATTCTAAAGAAGAAGTACATGAAAAACAAAACCTTGGGAAAAAATATTGGAACATGGGAGATTTACATTTTGGTCAGGCCTTATGAAAGTCAAAGATTGCTTTCTTAGAGTTACCTTCCTTTAGCCTTCCGAACGGTGCTTATATTAGGTTTTAAGACTAGAGGACAAATGGTTAGGAAACTTTACTCCCAAAGTGGAATATCTATCTTTATATTGTATTACAAGAAAGAAATATATATAAGTTGCTAAGGATTTTAGTACCACACCTATTAAATTATAAAAGTGGTATGAGTTGTCACAAAAGAGTAGCATTTAAGTAATTCGATGACCAACCTGATTCTATCAAATGAAGTGTTACAAGCCAAGGTTTTTTTAACGGACGTATAAGGTTTTAGTAAACAAAACTATAGTGCCTTTAAATAAATCAATTCACCTTTAGATACCATAAAAAATAAGATATTTGTTTGGTTCTTAATAAAGGGTGTCATTCTAACAAAATACAATCTCCTATAGAAAATTTGGAAACATGATGACAATTCTTGTTTTTCTAACAATAAATAAGGAAACCATCCAACAATTGTTCTTCAATTTTCATGTTGCGAGATTTGTTTGGATAGTGCTCCAAGTTGCATTTTACTTAATTATGGAACACTTTCTTGATGTATGGCTACAAAAAGTGAACCATATATTGCAATCTCAAGTTCGTGTGATAGAAAGTGCAATCCTTTGTTCTATATGGCTATCTAGAAATAATGCAATTTTTGATAATTAAGTTCTATACTCTATTTACATGTTATTTTTCAGGGCTACTCATTGGTTGTAGTCATGGTCCATTCTACAGAAGGAGGAAAAGCCCACATTGAAATGGGCAAGTCAAATGTTGGAGATTACAATAATGGAGATCTTTGCCGAGCATGGGTAGCTGTCTTCTAATATGCTTAGTGCTTAGCATGTTGGTCTACAGTTTTATTTGATTTTCGTGAACTCTTCAAATCCAGCCACAAGATGAAATTTAATAATGGACGGTTGAGCAGTGCAAAACTCTTGAAAAGAAAATAATATAATTTCCTTTTTCTATTTTTACATGTATAACAAGTTCACCGAAAAAATCGATATTTTCCTTGAGTCTATATATATTTGCATGAATTCAATCTCATTGTAAGAGAGAAAAATGAACTTAAGAAGTGAAGAGTATTACTCCTAATAAATGACACAAAGACTGACTTCAAATATATCTTACAAAAAGCCAGAATGTTAGTTTATGGATTTATAGTGTGTTGTATTGGTAAAAGTGCTCATGAGCATCTAATTATTTATAGCATAATATATCAGTTTGGGGCAGTTGGAAACAGCAGTCAGTTTGGCTTGTCACTCGCACACCAAATTGCCCACCCTGTGTGTTCTTGACTTCTTGTATCTTTGTAACTCCCTTTTTCTTAATGAAATACAGACAAAATTGCACGTTCACGAAAAAAAAAAAGCATAATAATATCTGATGCCAACAGAATACAAATAAATACATGACAGATAAATTACCTGATTAGTGAATTTCATCGATTTGCACTCCTCCCATGTGATTTTAGGATTCATCTCTTCTCGTTTTTTTCAGTATTGCCTCATGCTCCTCCTACAAAACAGCAACTTTATTTCCTGACAGCCTGTACCAAGTCAACTGGTACTCTTTTAGATATGCTAAGTACTGAATCGTAATTGGATCCTAGCTGTAACTAAAAGCTAAAAGCGATAAAGTTAGATTTTTGCAATTGTAATACAAGTTAAAATTGATGCCTAGGGCTTCCATAAATGAAAATTATAGGATAAAAAAGCTTAAGTATTTCCTACTGGAAGAGTACCAACCGTGAGTGCTTCCACAACATTTGGGTTGTCTGAGAGAAATTTCATGCCTAGGGCGAGGGTTGTCGGTGCTAATGCAATGCCAGCAAATATGAATCCTGCAACTGCATCCACCATGAAGTTCTCGTCTACTAGTGCTTCTCCACTCTGCAGATCTTCCGCAACTATCTCCAAAAAGTCCCTATTTTGTCTTTGTGGTGTACTAATCCGTTGTTTCAGCAAGTCTTTCATAACGTTTTGCACGTATTTTCTTGCCTGTGTAAGTATTAATGGATAAAGCTCACAAAAAGGTATCAATTAATGGATAAAGTTACACCGTCCAATATAAGAAATCTTTACAGGTTTTGTTACAACGAGACCCACAATATGAAAAAGTTCAAGTCTTGGGGACAGAAACTTGAGGATCCTCACCTGCTGAGGCTCAGCTTGTTTAAAGACCAACAGCATTTCTCAGTGCAAAAATTGACTATATGATAGATTTTTCGCTTAGCATGAGAAGCCAATTTAAGCTTTCCTCAATGATCCTACGTGAGTAGTGTTCCCTAAAGTGCTCAGTCACACAAGTATGTGACGTGCAACGCGCAATGGTCTACCTTTTCAGCACCATCTAAGGAAATCGGACCATCTGTGTTTACCAAAACCAGGTTACTCGGCCGGTTTTGTCAGGACATGAGCACTCACACCCAGGATGAACCCCATCAGAGAAAGCACACCTTGGGTTACCCTAGCGTCAACATGCAGCTATGGCAGCTTATCATGTTATGGAGACAAGAGGAGACCTCAAGGGTTCAGAAAGAGTAGGGATCAAAGGCATAAAAGGATCGAAAAAGAGTAAAAAGGATAAAATATAGATTGATTTGATCGATTGGTGATATCTCCATTGACCGTGAACATTTATATTTATAGAGTGGGAGATCTATTCCCGTGTTAGAGTTCAAATATATCAAGATTTACAATTTAAGTCGACTCAAACTTGTTTCGTCTAATCTGATATCACATGTGGAGATGTCCTGGTTTGTAAGCATCGTACGTGACAACGTGTACGAAATCTTCTGAAATTTTTATCATAGCCTCCACATATGATATCACGACATCTCAACAAGTTTCATGATTTTTGGACTTCGTTTGCATTTTGTAGAATTTATAAACACTTCACACGCAATTTCATGGACATGTTTCGTGAACGAGATATCCGAAATTTCGGTCTGTTCCTGGATACGGCCTCTCATAACACACACTAACATGACTATCAATTTTCGAATCATTAAACTCCATTATTCGTACCACGTGCAGTTCAAATTTCTAATTTCCAAAAAAATTCAAGTAAACGAAATAAAGTAACTAAATATAACAAAAAGCCACAAAAAAATCTTCAAATTGTAACTAGGAGTTCCCGGTGCTTTAAAAAGTCTCGCACAAAAAAATTGGAGGCTAAAACAAAAAAAAAAAAAAAACTTTGCCGAGTCTTTGGGGCATGGCACTTTCGGCAGTAAGGTGTTCTTGCCGAGTGCCAGCCCTCGGGCACTTTCGGCAAAAGAATGTTTTAATTTTTTTTAATTTTTTCTTTGAAAGTGCATACACAGGAGCACTTTCGGCAAAGAAATAATTAAAAAATTTTAAATCTTTTGCCGAGTGTCAGCCAGTGAGCACTCTCGGCAAAGTATTTTAAAATAAAAATTTTTTTTTGCCGAGCGCCGGATCCGAGACGCTTTCGGCAAGAATTTTAAAAAATAAAAAAAAATCTTTGCCGAAAGCGCCAGATCCGGGGCACTCGGCAAAGAAATTAAAAAAATCTTTGCCGAGTGCCTAACCGCAGCGCCGCAAGAAGAAGGACGTGGCACGGCGCCGCTTCACGGGGCAGCCTATGCCGAGTGTATAGATTTTGCCGAGAGTTTGGCGCTCGGCAAAGAAGTCCTTTGCCGAGTGCTGTGTTTTGCCGAGTGCCCGGCGCTAAACAAAGAAATCGTTGCCGAGTGTAATTCTTTGCGAGTGCAGACACTTTCGGCAAAGAAGATCTTTGCCGAAAGTGTCCGATTTTTGACACTCGGCAAAGAAATTTACACTCGCAAAGTCTCTGCTTCCAGTAGTGATTGCCATCTGAAGCTTAGTGAGGTCAGCACCCATGCAATGCCTTGCACCATCTCCAAATGGTATGAAATTCTTCACCAAGGAGCTCCCATGGGCCTCCTATAGATTTTAGCAGCGCATTTATGCATGTTCAGAACTATTACAAAGTTAAACAACTGCGTGCCTAGTTAATTATTTCATGGTTTAACTCATATTTGTTAGTGTGTAGATACAGATAAAGTTAAATTTGCACCGTTATGATATTCAGAAGAATTTCTGGGTTTTATTTTTGGTGATGTTGTGGCATAATCACAGATAATATTCTAAATTGAACTAGACTGTCTTTGATATTTTTGGCTTATGTATAGGAGTTCAGATATGTGATAAAATAAGCTTATCAACTCCTCAAATACTAACTGGAATTGTTTTATATATCTTAAACATGAGGATGAAAATGACATAGGGAAGCGTCAAGGTGATCTATTTACTCCATATATTGATCAAGTTAGTAAAATATATGGATCATGCTTGACAAAAAGTGTTAGGATAAAAACAAAATGTGCCTTGTGACTATTGACAGATACTAAAGGATACATATATGGATGAGTACCATTCCAATCATTTTGCACTTCCTGTCTAACATATATTCTTCAAAATCAACTTGATAGATCTTGTTTATTCGGTCTATACTCTTGTGATGTAAATGTGTAATTCGAATAGTGATAAAGTCTAAAGTTTTTGACCCTTTAAGTTCCTTCTCCATTCACCTTTTGTGAATTTACTTTTTGTTGATATGGTAAATTTCAGTTAGCATCCAATTTCCCATTTCAAGGTTGATGCACCCATAAAATTTACACAGTTTAATGGATGGAGTAGTTTATTTTAAGAAACACTCACTAACCTGCCATCTCCATGGATTAAAAGTGAGTGGATCTTTGAAATTTGTAGGATTTAGATGAACTGCCATGGGGCTTATCAAGACCAACCATCCCTCTGGAATTGTGTAGCCTGAATAATGAATATGAAAATGAGTGAATATCTGATGTGGGCCCACTAGAAATACTTCATCCATAATTAAATATGGTATCTTTTGTTAATGAAGAAACTGAGTTATTGTCATGCAGGCCATATATCACAGGGAAGACAAAGATACCATTCACTTGGACATCCTTCAATGTCTTTCTAAAATTCCAGGAGCATGGCTAGTTGCACGAACTATCTCATTGATAACCTTCAGATGGAAGAAATTATCATCTTAAGTTAAATAAAATAATGCATATGAATAGTTAAATAGTGCAGTATGAAAGATGAAAAATAATAAAACTTGAAGAAAATTACCAACAATAGCTATCTTGTGTTTAGTGTTTCGATGCATGTAAATTATATTAAAGCTCATGAGTTCCTATGAGCCACTATAATGCAGACAAAATCTTGAGGTGGATCAAAATATTATTGTTTATGTTTTCTTTTGTTCCTACATACAGATATGTGAAATAGTAGTGTGATGAGAACTTCGATAATGCTAATCAGGATGGTCAAATTCAGGTGTTACCCCACATTGAATTAATGATGGCATCTCAAGCTAATGGCACAATATTGTTATGGAGCACTATATTGAACAAGCAAAAACATGGAAATATTTTGTTATGCATTTGAGCAACTCTCATAATTTAAAATAAACTTCCACAAAAGGGAGCTATTTTGCTACGAAGAGGCAAAGAATTATATGGAACAATACTCATAGATTTTTGGCTAAGTCTTGGACAATATCCTTTTGGCTAGGCATTCCAATGAATTATAGGAAGCTAAAAAACAAGGAATGGAAAGCCATTCAAAAACATTTCAAAAAGAAACGTAAGCCACTAAAAACAGAAAAAATGTCTTATGGCTGCTGACTACTATTGGTAAACTCTGCATTGAGCAATTTGGCTAATATGATGTCTTTCATTGAAGTACAAAGGTATATTCTTATTAAGAAGCTAGATTTCTATAGATCTAGTTTCTTTAGGCAAGGGTGGGACCACAAGAAAAAATACAGATTAACAAAATATGGGGTATTGTGTCTTCCAAAGGAGCAAGGCATTTTAGGAATTACAAATATTGAAATACAAAATGACTATGTCCTTAACAAATGGTTGTACTATTGGTGAAGATGAGTTTGGAAAAAATTCTAAAGAAGAAGTACATGAAAAACAAAACCTTGGGAAAAAATATTGGAACATGGGAGATTTACATTTTTGGTCAGGCCTTATGAAAGTCAAAGATTGCTTTCTTAGAGTTACCTTCCTTTAGCCTTCCGAACGGTGCTCATATTAGGTTTTAAGACTAGAGGACAAATGGTTAGGAAACTTTACTCCCAAAGTGGAATATCTATCTTTATATTGTATTATTACAAGAAAGAAATATATATAAGTTGCTAAGGATTTTAGTACCACACCTATTAAATTATAAAAGTGGTATGAGTTGTCACAAAAGAGTAGCATTTAAGTAATTCGATGACCAACCTGATTCTATCAAATGAAGTGTTACAAGCCAAGGTTTTTTTAACGGACGTATAAGGTTTTAGTAAACAAAACTATAGTGCCTTTAAATAAATCAATTCACCTTTAGATACCATAAAAAATAAGATATTTGTTTGGTTCTTAATAAAGGGTGTCATTCTAACAAAA